CCCCAAAACCCCAAAACCCCAAAACCCCATTAGTAAAAAAGTACAAGAAATTTAGGTTTTATAAATAATTTAGTTCTAAATTAGAATATAATTATTTTACAATCGAAATTATTAGCTATTAATGAAACTACTTTAACATCAAAATAATAATTCCCCAAATCGCCCTTAGCTTGTCCGTAGACCTTCCTCTAATAATGAGTATCAAGATCCGGATAAGCTTCCCAATGTCAGATAAAACAGTAGTAGATTATCGGTGGCTTACTAGCAGAATCCAAAGATTAAGCTAAATTTATCAGATAATAAAGGAAATAATAATAATAATCAAGACTATCATACATCTAATACAACAACTTATGCTCAAAATAATATTATGTCTCAAAAAAATAGAACAAATACTATAATCATGAGTCTTGAAAACTAGAATTAGAGCTATGGGCATGCGGGTACTCTTAGTTCTGGGGTTGCTAGACTTTAATTGCCTAAAAACAAATAGAAAGTCAGTTTTTCGAATAATAATAGCTCACGACGGAGAAACTCAAAGAAGGATGGTGAAAGTGGGTATTCATCTCGTTAAAATACCTTGAGAAAGGAGTAAATACATATTTATTGATGATAATTATTAGTAAGGTAAGATTCTCTGCTCTTTCACATGAATCAGCTGATGAAAAGGCAGATGACAAGGACTCAACTCTAAACTCCTAGATTTAAATGTAAATTCTAGCTAAATTATACTACTTAGAGTCTTAAATGAGAAGTTGCCAGAGCATGAAAAGCGTGATAGAGGATATCATGCTAAGGAAAGTTTCTCCTTCTACCGATATATGGCTAAATAAAACTAGATAGGCAAGGACTTCGCCAATGATAGAGAAAGGGAATGGAGTGAAAAGTATGCAGAAATAGGTACAATGAATAATATCCTGAAGATGAAGGTTGTTATGATGAGTGATAAGATCAAGAGTTTAAAGACTGAGGGGTTTAATTACAAGGACCGTAAGATATCCAAAGCAGGAAGAATCTGGGTGAAAGAAGGAGATAAAAATCAGAATCTTGACTATGAGATGGAGGAAAGAAAGTTATTCCTTAGATCTTAGATCAGAAATGGTATCTTATGTAAAGATACTGAGATGCTCAAATAAGCAATAAATACAGCTCATAAATATCCCTAGATTCTTGATCAGATCTAGTTAGATGTTACTCATGCCGAACTCGTTGTTATTAAAATTCAAGAGAGAAAGAGATAAATTGAGAAGCTTAGAGAAAAGTAAAGAAATTTGGAGTTGATAGAAGAAGTAGTAAATGGAAGGTAGAGCCTACAAAGTAGTCAAATTAATAGTCCAATAGGAAGCCCTGTAAATTTAGATTACTTTTCCTCAAGCGAAAGTGATAGGTATGATACTTTCTAAAGGCTTTAATAGCAGTTTAATTCTGGTATATCTGAAGCAGATACACTCGAGAAACTAGCTATTGTACTTAAGAAGTATACTAAACCAGTAGAATTACCATTCAAAACTAGAGAAGTAGAAGATTTATCATACTTGAAAGAATGAAATAAAATTGATAACATCTAGTATTTGAATGTATCTAATCTAAACTTAATTTCATAACTTCAAATAACTTAGCTCTATGGGGTTTTGGGGTTTTGGGGTTTTGGGG